TGTTTTTTCATTATTATTCTATGAATATAGACAGCAATTTATCTGTCCACCCCTGCAATATCTTATGATAGAGAAAAGAATCCTATTACATGTCTATAATATATAGATTTTTTGCATGCACTTCAATAATTCTTATTTGTTCTTTTCTGTTGTTAGTACTGAAAATTTGATTTTAAAGCCTACTTAAAATAATAAACACAGAATTACGGAATGTGTCAGCTCTGAAAGGCAAGAAATGTTATTTTCTTGAGAAGACTTGAAACGTACTGTGGGTCTTTCACATCCTGTTGTCCTCACCTACTGCCAGTAATCACATCTTCTTTAAAACTGCCCTTTGTCGTCTTCCGTACTCTGTTTTCTGTAAGTATGCATTTGTCACCAGCTAAATGACAATTGGGTCACACTTTGAATGGAGGCTCTCCATCAGCAAATTGTGTAAGAGCCGTGCATCCACGTGGAACATGAATTCAACACGTTACATTTCATTCTGCCTCCTTACTCAGTAGACTTCGAGAAAAGATGACGGCACTTAATTCTTGTAAAAATAAATTGTTGATTGCAGTGTAGGACATAAGAAACACTTGAGCTGTAAAACTTGAGAAACGTCGAGTTTGAGATTAAAAAAAAAAATTAAAAACTGGTTTATTTTTGGATTTGATCAGGATTTAATGATATAAATACTGTTGTCTCTGCAGAACTTCCCTGCCTGCTCTTGAGCAATGGCTGGCTCTGTGCTGCTGGTTTTTCAGAGAAGTATTTGATAGTTTGTATGAGGTACTGAGGGAGGTATTGGGAAGGAGTGATTAATTCAGGCAGGAGTTGGCCTATTTTGTTCATTTTAACCCATGACAAAGTGATCTAACTTGTATAACTGTTGTTTTCAGAGTCAGCAGAGGGCAATCAGTATTCGTTGGTTTAGATTTTTTTACATCCAGCAGGAATTCTTAAGAGCTCTGTGCATGCTTATACAGAAGATTGCCATTACCAATTACCAGTGCTCAAAACATCACCCGAATTCAATTCTGAATCTTTGGAATCAATTCAGAAATGTTTTATTACCTGGAAGTATTGAATTTCTTTCTCCATCCTTCCTTTCTCTGTCATCTTCCATCTTTCTAGTGAATTAATGACTCAATATTTTTCAGTAAACAGATGAAGAATTGTTGTTGAATTACATAAGATGCATTGTTAAAATAATTATGTCAAATGTATTTGCACATATGTAATATCTGCATAATACAAACAAAAGCTTCCTTTTTTCTTTTTTTCCCCTTACATCTTAAATTGGGAATAAGAAGACTTTTCCCCACAAGCATGAATGTAAAAAATTAAAATTAGGTTTCCCTGTCTGCTGCAGTATTTAAGACTCAGAAGTGGAAAAGCCCATTGTCTTAATTTTGGGGTCTGATGAGAGTTATTAGCACCATGGAAATCAGCAGGAATTTAACATACCTGAGAATCAAATCTCTTAATAACAGGATATTTTCTCTTGTATTTGAGAAGCTAAATATTCTTTAATTCTCAGATTTATCATTTCAGGCTCTTAAGGTTCATTTCTTCCCTCAATCTAAAGGTGATTTATGGTCGCTCTGTTACAGATCAAATAGTTTCATCTTTCAAACTTGCTGCACCTTCTCTAGCATTTCTATCACTTATGACTTTGATTCTCAAAATAAAGGTGAGACAAGATGAATGGGTGTGTATATAAGAACTCTCAATTGGACCCACCCACAGGTATGTGAAACTTTACAGCTCTCAAAGTTTAATGAATGTTTATTGTGCTCGGCATAGCAAATCTGAAAGGTCAGGTGAAAAACAGAAATATTGTTTCAGTCCTTTTCCAGGGATTTTTTTCATCACTGTGCCACAACTGGTAACAAAGAAATCCTTGTGTCCGAACATGGGAGGCTGATGCTGTGGTTTTGTGTTGTGCAAACAATATTAAGCAAACGTTTTTCTAAAGCAGTACTATCTGATTAAATAATAATAAAAAATCAACAACCCAACCCACAAACAGACCTTCAATTCAAATACCTACGCTATGAATAGGAGCCAGCTCTTGTAATTCTGTTGAGACCCACGACCCAGGTGGGTTTTCGTGTGCTGAGAGCTGTACAAACCCATCAGCCCTGCTCCGTGCTGCCCACCTGCTGATGCTTTGTAGAACACGGATGGGCAGTGCTTTGTGCACGTGCACCTGCATTCACTTTTAGTTTTAGACCACCTTTTTGTTTTCTTTATTGCTTCTTTGCTTTTCAATCCCGAGTCCTGATTTTGCAGGCAGGTGAATTAAACTCATTATTGCGGTTTAGAAAGTTGTTTTCTGTTGTAGAAGATAACAGTAGAAAAAGTTAAAAGGAAACATTTCTTGTTTGTCTGTTGCCTGGCAGTATGCCTGACTTGTGCATTTAGATAGAGGAACATGAACTTGGCCTGACCTGAATGATGCTTGGATATAAATGCGAGTAATAGTTGAGGGTTCAGTTAGTTCTAGAGATGAGGTGAAGCACCATTGCTGGGATTTTGACCCGTGTGCAAATTCCTGTTACCTGCACCAGCTCTTTGGTGATTTAGTGTTACATGCATGTCTTCAGAAACTCTATGGAAGGACTTAAAAATTCTCCCGCTCTGATTCTGCTGCTGTCAGAGGTACAGGATTTGAGGTGCAGGATGACCGTAAGTTCTCTTACTGTTGCCTTTTGTTCATGTACCCTGTGACTGGTGTCTGAAGTTACAGAAGTGTTTTCAGTGCCATGCTCAATTTGCTTCGTACACCACACTAAGCAGCCTCCTGCTTAGTAAAATCATTTCTCATCATCTGCTACGCTGGCCATGAATGCTTTACTTCTGCCCCTCTCTCTGAGCAAAAAAGAGAGATCCTAAAGCATATTTTAACCTACGTGTGCTCAGATATCAATAGCCCTAGATAACGTTTAACTCGTAGTGATGTGGTTAGAGATGTTCTGTAGCTGTCCTTTAGCCTGAAGGATGACTTCAGTGGATTCTTTGGTTCAAGAGAGCCGTGGATGTTCTTAATCATCTCTCTGGTTCTTAGACTGCACGTCAGTTCAGCCAGCATTAAATGACTGGAGTATCTGGGAGAAATGAACACCTTTGTTTCGTGATTTCATATTTTCATTGTATTCCCCAATGCATATAATGGAGGAAAAAATACATTTTGCTAGAAAATGAGTGTGCAGTTTCCTAAGTGTGTGAAGCGGGCAGCTCAGAGCTGTGTCTGCAGGCAGAACTGACACAGCTGTGTGCTTGGGTTCACTGCTGTGGCTGATGTGTGTTTGTTTCCTAAGTTGTGTGTTTTAAGCAATTAATAATCTTAATTTAAAAGAAGCGACTGCATAAATAGGGGAAGATCTGCTTTTCTTTTGTTGTGCTTTGGTTTAATAATTTGCTCTGAGCAAAGGGCAGGAATCTGCAGTGAGGTCTTTTTGTCCCTCATTGTGAAACTCTGGTACAGGTGGATGCAGAGAGCTTTACACACAGAGTTCTGCATAAAGGTGCCCCTCCTTTCTGCAGGATGCTGAAAGCAGGTTTGTGTTAGAGCGTTATACAAGGGTGTCTGTTTCTTTCCTGCCTGTTCTGAAATGTGCTGAGAACCATGTATAGGGAAGCTGTGGTAATGAGCAGAACAGAAGAGAGAGGTGATTTATGATACCTGTTCCTGACAGCTATAGTGCTGAGATTCCCAGGGTATCTGATCACTGCATTAGCATGCTGACAGCTCAGCATTTATGACATTATGGTAATTTATCCTGCATATGCTGTCACCTGCACTGTCAGAGTTTCTTTTTAATGATGGTATAACTATTTTGTTTGTTTGTACTGCATTCTTTTCATTTGGCTAATGCCTTCTCATTAGATTGCACCTAGTAAATGAGAGTAATTAAGTGTTTCCTATAGCTCAGATGCAATGATTAAGTTGCAGAGTTGGTGCTGATTATGTTTTGTCATTTATCTCTATTAATCTGAGAATAATCCAGATGATAAACACATGTAATTTTTTAGCTAATGTTCAATAGATGAAATTTATAGCTTCTCATTGAAGCCAAACAGTAAGCGTGTATTTATATATGAATAGCAAGTTATTGTACTTGTATTCCTGTTAAATAAACATAGAATTATCTGTGCAACTAAGGAAAATACAGAACAGCTGCTGAATGTAGAGGTTTGCACCTTCAAAAAAATGCACTTTTTTTTTTGTATCAGAAACTGCTATTCATAATTCACAGTTGAGTGTTTATTCTGTTTCTCTAGCATCTACAGAGAAGCCTGTGCTGGTAGTTTGGAGGAGTTTCCCTTCAGCTGTCTGCATTTGGTGCTGTGAATTCTTGAATACAAAACTCAGTTAGCAGCAAAACATAGTTTCCATATAAAGGTTTGGAAATTATAGTACTGGGTTTAAAATAAAATTAATGCATCAAGTTACTTAAGAGCAATTTGAGAATCTTTATTTAACTCTGAAACTGCAGATAGAGACTGAAGAAAAGTCCCTCCAGCTTTTTTCACCACTTCATTAAAGATCTCAAAGATGTAGACATCGTAGCTGGTGGAGGGAACACCTGGGTAGTGTGAGTTTTGTGCCATTATTTAATGGCACACAGATCGTTCTGAGCTCAGTGATCGTTTCACATCAGTACTGCACCAAAATAGTGCCTAATGTAAGAACGTTGTCTTTCTTATGCCTGTGTCCATCAGGCATCTGAAACTTACTCAGTGACACCTGGCAGAACGTAGCGTGGAGCCTTTGCTCTGTTCCTCACAGAGTATTGAACTCTACGTGGAATTGCCAGGCGTGGTTTAATTTTGGTTTGGAATAGCTCCTCTGATTAGGAATACTGTTCCTTCCTTGTTTTCCATGAAGATAAGTGCTGACCTGTTCCAGGGAAGTACCTCCTGGTCTCCTACAGGTGTTTCTTTCTTTTTGATTGCTTAAGCTGGAGTATCTTCACCCCCAAATTATCCTCAATCTTCTGCTCTTCTAGAAACACTCCAAGGCACTGCCCAAGCGGTGCAGTTGCATTTCAGACCTGCCTGCCATTGATACTGGAGAGCTGCATCTGAGAGAGTTGTTCTGTAGCCAAAGTGACTCTGAAGGCGCAGTGAAACGGCTCAGGTTTGTCATTTGTTCCTGTTGTGAGGTGCTGCAGAGAGAGAGCTGGTGTCTCTGGAGCTGTGAAGGGAGTGGGCATGGGATGACTTGGTCGTAGAAAATCATGGTGAGACTGAGCATAGTGGAAACAATACTGAAAATGTGCCGGGGGGGGGAGAGGTGGGGGATCTCATGTGGACAGTCCAACATCAGCCCATACATGTGAGCATTTCTCAGTCTGCATTTGTGTTAGACTTGCTCAGTTGTTTCAGGTACATCTTGTAGACGAGTACCTAATCATTTAAGGGTTCTTTTTTTAAGAACTGTTTATTTTTTTACGGAACATAAAAATATGCCACTGAATAGACTGCCAGGTTGAAATATATCCCCCAGATCAAATTATTTCTTGCTAGCAATTGTTTGTTTTCTTTGAGCATAAATGTTAGTGCGTCTGCGTTCCTTCTGGAAGAGCAAACGCTCCGTTCTGTTTATCTGGGTCAGTTCTAGAGTAGCTGCTTAAAATGCTGTGTACTGAATGCTGTTATCTTTTCTCTTGGGCGGATCGGGAAAACAGTAGAAGCAGCCAGTGATGGCTGCTGGGCTTTCATTTCTTTGTGACTGGTAAATGAAACACATGCAGCCTCACCAAACTACATGACTAATGACAACCTCCAGTGGCTCCTGCAATCAAAGATTAATTTGCTTTATCAAGTTTAAAGAATAGTAGGCGATAAATCATGTCAAAAAGAAATAATCAGAGGCAGGCTGATGTTCTTCTGCACAGTGGAGGACAGGTGCAATAGAGGATTCATCTGCCATTGAGTGTTAATTTCGTTCTCACGCTGTTCTGTTAATCATAATTTTGATTTAGTTTATTCTTAGGTCAGACAGATCGCAGCCAACTAATATTTTGGTCTAAAATGCATAGTGTTGATATTTTAACACTTGCTTAGAGTCTTTCACTTGACATCAAAATATTTTTGATCCAATTCCTTTAATAATTCATAGATATATTTCTACACCATCTTTTTGCTCTCTTGTTGGCACACAGTTTAATATGGACAGGAACAAAAAAACAGGTTGTGCCTATCTACAGCATGCATGTAGTTATAATAATATTCTGTTCCTCCTTGTTGATTTCTGTCCAGCTCTCGTCTCCTACTCTGTGTGAGGGAGAAACATAACCTCAGTCCTAAATGCTGCTGCTGTTCTGTGTGCTGGGCTCTGAAGCAGAAAACTAATGATACTGAGCAGTGAAGGTCTGACCCAGCACGGGGCCTGGAGCCACCTACTCTTGCCATGTAAGTAGCACAGCATAGAGTGACCATCGTGTTGCAGGATGGTGGAGTTCTTAGTGGTTCTCACTTACTGAAGTGATTCAGAGACAGCATCTTTAATACATTTGGACTTAGTGAATGTAATCATTCCAATAGAACCTAGGAAGAAAAAAAAAAATTGTCACCATTAAATGTGAGAGGCTATCTCTAGTATGTCGTTATAGTGTTACGTTACATAGTGTGACTCTGAGTGTGACCTGCACTTACTGATGATTTGTGTTGTACAGAAAGCAAGGGTTTCGACTGCTTATTTTGTGTGGAAAATACGGCTACCATCTTCTGCCCTAACACTCTATCTGTGCAATTGACTACTGACCATGTCAGTGTATGTTATAAGGTGAGCCATCACCCAATAGCACATTTGGCAACGATGTTTTTTTCCTGTGATTAGAAGAAGTGCATTAGTGGAGTAATGCATGGGAACGATGCAATATTATAATAATGTGAGCCCTCTAGTGGCATTTTCTGTGATGTAAGTTTAGATAGCTAATTGTGTGCAAAAGTGTACAGCAGCGCACGTGTTCAGATAGGAAATCTAACAGGAGAACAGGCTTTCATTTCACTCCTGTGAAACTGAGAATAAGGAAAAGCCTGCTAACCGAAGGACAGGCTTCTGTTGCAGCTCTCAGGATGACTGGTATTGTCACAGTGAATGTTTTAGTAATGGAGCTGTATTTTGCAAGGGGAAAAACTGCAGAAGTTCTGATCAGATGGTTAGGAACTGCATATACAGCAAAGGGGCTCACTAGGACCTATCTGTCCCAGTTCAACCACTTAGATGACAAGATGAAACATTTGCATTGCAGACAGTAAAAGTTGTGTTGCCAAAAGATTAAAAGAGTAAAAAAATCAACTTCTTGAGAGGTAGAAGGATTTGCTCAGTGCCTGAACTTGACAGAAGTAGATTTTAAGTAAGCCATTAACAATTTAACGTAGCTTTTGGGTGTGCATGGGCTAAAGGCATTACTGTGAAACACGCTTATTAGAGTGTCAGTTAACCACCTTCCTTCCTTCCCTTACACTGAATGTGTATGCTGTTATTCTGTAAAGACTAAATACTGTGGGGCAGAATGCTGTGCTGGGCTGTGTGTTGTGTTAATAGTTCTGGCTCTTCACTGTGCTGTTGGAAGATCTGTGCCTGCACTCTGACATGAGCACAGACACCAGCTATAATGGTGTCAGGTGCTGCTGCTGGAGGAGTTGCATGGGGGTACCTGTGGGGTCCTGGAAGTGCAGCTGTGTGAGTGCTGAATGTCTGGGCTCCTTCTCATGTCACTTCATTTTGTTCTGACTAATGCTGGTTTCTGCAGTGATGCAGCAATAGTGCTTCAGTGCCTTTGTGCCGTTCTGGTTCTGCTGAAAAGATGGGTTAATCCTCTAGTAAAATTTTGCTTCTTGTGAATCTGCATTTAAAAGTGTGGGCAAAGGCAAGAAGTTTATTTATTTATACCTACAAATAAACTGATAAATCCATTTCTGGGGAGCTAAGCACCAGCCCTAGGGAGTCCTGCCAGTGCTGAGCAGAGGAGAAGCATTGCCCTCAACTTGCTGGTTGTTCTCAGCCTGCTGCAGTCTGGTTTGTCTCTTTGCAGTGAGAGCACACTGCTGGCTCCTGTACAGTGTGGTTCATTTAAAGGCATTTGGATGGTAAGGTAAGAAATGACTATAAAACCATCTTAAATTACATTGTGATGCTGATGGGAAGGAGAAGAATGTACTTAGGGATGTTCCTTAAAAAAAAACAGTCCTCCCTTAGCTGAAATCACTCATATTCTTAAGACATCATCATCAGTAACTGAATGGAGTATGGCACGATATTGCCATTTGTTTCCACAGCTTTATGTTCCATAACTTATCTTTTCTTACTCTGGGGCTTTAAGTGCATTGCAGATTTGAATTGGAGTTCATGAGGCTACAATTAAGGAATCCTTTTTTAACGTTCAGAGTTGTGTGTACTTTTCTTAGGCGTTATAGAAAGCAAATAGTTGTCTGTCTTCTGCCATTTCCCATTCTTCTGAAGCACGGAGAGAAAAAAACAGCATTTCAGTTACTCGTTCCACATAGATTTTGTCTGTATCTTCTTTGTTGGAGCAGTCAGTAGTTGGCATCAATTTGGATCAAAAGAGCTGCAGTTAGGAAGGCCATGAGGAAGGTTCCATATTATTTCTCCAGAGCATTCTCACTACTGACGAGTTGTTTCTTGAGGCATGTAGCTCTATTGAGAAAGAAGTCTTATGGGAGCAAAGTTTTATTTCTGAAGCAGGATTTTTATATCAATTTAAGTATTAAATGATTTGTGTAGATGTCATATACACAATAAGGCAGCTTATCAGACGATATATAAAAAGATATATAGTTGATTTTAAACCAAATATCATTTTAAATTTGGTAAAAATATGGATGGGAGGCGATACTTTAAGTAGCATTAACACGATAGGCAATCTTTGGATGTGCTCTGAACAGCTCAATTACTTTCAAGTTTATGCATTTTCTTTAATAACCAATTTAATTCTAATTTGCTGATTTTACATAGTCATCTAAATGTATGTGCTTTTAGAACTAAAAAAAAATAATAATAATTTTGCAGTATCTCAAGCTAAAGATGAGTAAGCATCTCTTAGTGCACCCTGACCCAGCCTGCTTTGCTTCTGAAGCGATTGAGATTCTTTTACTGTAAAACACAGTCATATCTGAGTGTTCTGCTATCTCTCATATTTGTGTGGATTTGATTATCTCGTTTGCTTAAGAGGTCAGCAAAACATACCCAACTATTGCTCTGTATATTATTAAAGACCATTACTGTCCATCACACTGTAAAATGATGGCATCACGTGAAGAACTGGGTGCAGAACGGAGATGGCAAGGCTGGGACACAGAGATGTACGTGGATGAAATTTGGCTGTTAGAGGTGTTGCCTGTTAGGTCATCTGGTGCTGCTGCTTCACTCCGTAACTTGGACCATGGTGTTCCTCACTGTATTCATCCCTGTGTGGCTGATTAAAAAGATGAACGTTGTGGCCTTTTGATTTGTTCTGTGTTTTCCCTCCTAACCTGGATGATGGCCTTTGTTTTTGCAGCCAGAGCCAAGGCACTTCAGGCTGTATGTTTTTCTGTGTACAACTTCAGTGTTATACTCTTTAATTTTCCTCTAGAAGACTTTAGCAGCAGAGAATAAAGTCTAAAACTAACCCTTATGACTGGGAATAATTATTGATCAAGATTCTTCACCAATCTGAATTGATGCTTTCGTTAGTTTTGGTTAGTTTTGTGAGTTTTTCAGTTAATGTAACTCTAATCCCATTCCCTGAAGATAATCCAGAGTAAGGTCTGTGTCTACACTTATCCATACAGCATGGTCCTGTTTGAGAGTTCTTACCTTGTAGGATGCTCTGTCAATTTGTGGCTGTTTTTATAATCAGAAATTTAGCAAAGTTTGATAATGACAGCTTTCTTTCCAAAATACATCTCTGAGATGCTTTCTGTTCTAAAAGGCCTCTGGAAAGGAAGGCTGTGTCCTCCTTTCTGTCAAACTCTTGCTTCATTTCAGTGTTCCGCTTTCCAACTTACGTTTGCCAATACCTTCCATTGTTGAGTTTTCAGTGTCTGAGTATTGTTATTTATTTCTGTATTTATATGGACCTGTAACTCTTCTTGAACCAGACTCCTGTTTGGAAGTTGTGTTAAATTCTTTCTGTACTCTTAGCAGTGTTTTCTAGGCATCCAGTTCTGCACAGGGCACCTTTCTGGTACAGCTATACGAGGTGTCATTCACTCTTTATTGTGTATCATTTTAAAGTTGCACCTATATTTCATCTTCGTAAGTAGATAGAATGATCTGAATTAGGCAAACATGGGTTTTGCTTTGCTCCTTCTCCTTGCTTCTTGGTTGGTTACAGCCCTTTTTTGTCTGCCTTAGTTAATGATTGTCATCGTCTTGATAATGTGAAGTTGTGATTACCTGCATAAAATATGAGAAAATACATATTACCAAAGTAAACCTTTGATTACCGTAGGGAAAAGTGGCCTGAGGATTAAGGGAGCCAAAAAGTGTCTGAAAACTATTTCCCATCTCATTTTGCATCAAGCTGTGCTCAGTCAGACTGAAAGATCTGCCCCACAGCATCTCCATTCCAAGTGATTGATGGGGTGTTGGTGGTGCGCCTGGCGAGGAATTCGGAATCGTGCAGCACCTTTACTGACGTGCTGTGGGCTGCTTTCTTCACACTGAGGAGGGGTATTTTAAGTGCTGGTAATTATTAGCAGGTAGTTAAAGTTTGTTTTCATGCTCAGTAAAAGAACTGCCATTTTGGGACTGCAGCAGCGAGGAAAAAGTGAGCAGAGCTATACCAAAGCCACAGATAGATGAGAATAACAGAGTGTGGGGGAAGCTGATTGTTAGAAACACGTTTTAAATGCATGTGCATGCGTGGGGATGGACAGACAAAAACATGTGGTGTTTGCTTTAATATTTGTGAGACGGTCAAATTGTAAGGAGCAAATGTATGAAAATGAGGAGCACAGCAGCCTGGAAATAACACACAACAGAAGTCAAAAGACCACGTACCTCAGTGTTCTGGGCAGGTTAACTGTAATTAACAGGCAAGTTGGGGAAAAAAAAAAGAATTTCCTAGATCCACAGGGATGTAAGGCATCTTTTAGAGAAATAAGAGTGAGGGGCTTTTTTGTTTCAATCTGTTTTAAGCAAAAAGCACCTTCCCAACCCTCTGATGTTTACTTAAATTAAAAAAAACAAATCTTGATTTTCATGGTATGTGATGGCAAAGCATTGCTTTCTATTGCAGTGATATGTTGCTACTATTATTGAAAACTTTGTTATTTTTACATTTGGAAGTCAATGTTTCTCATCGTGCAATAATTGGTGATTGCGTTTCTCCTGAAGGGAGTTTGAAGGTCATCCTTAAAAATGTGTTTCATCTTTAAAATGGTTTGCACTTGAACCGTTT